GTGATAATAGCAGCTCTAACGGCAGATAGTGTGGGACCTGGGGCAGTTTCTTGCACCAGAAGCCTATGGACAACTTAAGTTCCTCCTCCAGAGTGCCTCACATCACTGCCATCAGGGTCAGGGGCCTCCTCCATGACAACTGGTTGCTTTATAGAGTGTAAGGACCCAGGTTTAAAGTAATCCCTTTGCTGTGACAAACTCAGACTGGAAGTGTTGTCCACTATAACCCAGAGGGTCAGGATCTTTGTTGCAATAGATGCGGGGGGTGGGGGTGGGGGGCAGCAGCAGTTACTTAGGGGCCCTGGTGAGACCTCTGTGATCTTGCCAAAAACTGGCTACATTTTCCTGTCTCTTCTCTTTCTCTCGAAATTAACTGCTCTTTAAGGAGTGACCATCTGATGGGCTCACCTCATTCACAGGGTATAGTCATCCTCGTAACCCCAGACCCACCCAACATCAAGGCAACTTCAGCCTCAGTTTCACCTTCACTCTAAACACACAGACAGATGCCACCCAAGACACTGACTGAGGACCACATTAAGGAGGGCCCCATTCCCAGACTCATGCTCCCAAAGGACAAGAAATTACCAAAACTGCCATCTCAGTCCTCTGTATGTAGAACCCAGGCTTGGTGGGGTCAACAGCGCAGCACAGGGCAGCACAGCGCCCAGGAGGAGCTGCCCAGCAAGCAGCAACCCACAGTGCAGGAGCCTCCAGGCTTTCTCATCAGTCTGTCCAGGTAAGAAGGCTCAGGGGAAAAGGGAGGGTGAGGCTTAAGTGTTCAGTCGTCAAACATCATCAGCATCAAACCCTGGCCACTCATTACAAGAACACAGGGTAAGGAAAATACACATTCACACTTGCCTGTTTTTACACAAAGAAGCACTAACAGGATGATGAAGCAGTGATCAAAACTGGTCATGTAGGGAGGCTGGAGTCAGAGCAGAGGAGCGGGGCAGGACGTGCAGGCAGGGAGTCTCCTTAAGTGAGTTTCCTCTCAGGAATATTTTTAACCTTCCCATGCATTATTTATTTAAAATAAAGAGAGAAATTTATAGACATCATATTTCCCTATGCTTGATCACTATTTTTAATTAACTTTTTCTTTTTAAAATTAATTTAACATTTCTACATAGGAAACCACTCCAAGATTTAATCCATTGAACACTAATGGATATAAAACTGTAAAGCATAAACAATTTACCAATCCCTTGATAACAGAAGCACAAGCGGCATGATAGTTTGTCCCTCCACTATATTTCACACTGGGGATATTTTCAGGAAGGAGTAGCATATTATATATAATACATTATGATGTGGATTAAGGCTGCCCCAGCTAGAGAAGCCCAAGGTGACCTGGCCTACATGCCAAACTATATGACCCAGTGGACTTTTTTTATGGTATGAATTAGGACTGCCCCAGGGAGAGAAGCCCGGGGCATCCTCACCTGCATGCCGATCTATATGGCCAGATTCGTATCTAAAGTTATATGACCGCACAATAACCAGACCCCATCTGCACTGAAATCATTTAATGACTTTTTACATCATCTTTTCTTTTTTTCCAGTAAAAATAAGTCACGTACCCATGCCTTATAAAATTAGCCCTAACCCTCAACTCAGGGCAGCAGCAGGAGCTCTGACTGCCCGTGGGTCTTGTCCCCACGCACCAGCTCTGCCTGCCCATGGGTCCTGTCCCCATGCCAGCGGGGGCAGCAGCAGCGGCAGCAGCAGGAGCTCTGACTGCCCGTGGGTCTTGTCCCCACACACCAGCTCTGCCTGCCCATGGGTCCTGTCCCCATGCCAGCGGGGGCAGCAGCAGCGGCAGCAGCAGGAGTTCTGACTGCCCGTGGGTCCTGTCCCCACGCACCAGCTCTGCCTGCCCATGGGTCCTGTCCCCATGCCAGCGGGGGCAGCAGCAGCGGCAGCAGCAGAAGCTCTGCCTGCCCATGGGTCCTGTCCCCATGCTATTCCACACTATTCTCTAAATAAAAGAGCACTACTGCCAGATCTTGAGAGTCTAAGAAATCTTTCTTTCGACTCCTCGGCTCACCGATCCCGCATCACATTACGGGTTTACGATTAAGCCCTGTAATAAACTAGGAATTCCAAAGATTTACACAAGCTTTACATATTTCCTCATATCAATGGAAATAGAAATTCAAGTGCTTTTTCCTCACATCCATTAAAGTAGGAATTCATTTGCCTTAGGAATAGCATAGCCTTTTAAATGTCAAAGTTCCCTCAGAACATGGACACACAAAAACTGACCTAAAAATGGAAAATGTACCTGAGAACCTAAGTACACCCATCTCACATCATGAGGTTCTCTTGCCTAAATGGATCAAAAATTCTATTTGGTTCCAAATTTTCTTGCCTAACTCACATCATCTCTCTCAATCAACTTACATTTTAAAACCCAAGTGCTAATGGAACTAGAATCAAAGGGCTACAATCTTCAACTGATACAGGAATCCAAGGACAGAAACAAATGTTTGAATGAGCTCATAGAAGCAGCCTGCTTGTCTACAGTTCAGAAGGAAAACCCACGCTCAGAAAGTGACCATATTCCCAGACTTGAAGTCTAAACACTCCCAGCTGAGATGTCACCCCTAGAGTGCTTTGTGCCTGCTGAAAGAGGGTAGGGACGCCTGAGCAGAGTGCAGGAATGGACTCTGGGAGCCCCGCACACCCTCCCTTCTCCTGTGAGCATGGAAGTGCTGCCTCCCCCAGGCTCCCACTCTCATAAGTGAGGAAACTCTCAGCTGGATTCAGTTTAAGCTTCTGAGATCCACATGAACTCCAAATTCATGAACCCTTTGTCCACAGGACAGAACACCTGAGCTTCACAAACTTCCTCACTGTGCACAGATTACACTCTCAGTGTACCTACAGGGTCGATACAAAACTCAAATAACGTTTAAAATGTCCAGACCTAAGAACCACAACCACAGCCTCAGAAAGGGCATCATTCCCCACCCCATGAGCACGTGCACCCCCAGCTTTCCAGGGCTCTGCAGCTCCTCTCAGGATAAAGGCTCCTTCCATGGGGTGTGAGCAGTAGGACACCTGCAAGGGAGGCTCCCCAGGAAGGACAACTGGGTCTGCAAGGCCTTCCCTCCGCAGGCTCGAGGGGGCCTTAGCTTGGGTCTCTGACTGCAGGCCTCCGCTCCACCTGGAGATGCTTTGGAACATCATTGTTATTTCAAATGACACAAACCCATTGTTTGAATAATCCAGAAAAATCACTTAAACCCAGCCTTTCCATTCAAAATAGGGAAGAAAATTATAAGGCACTTTTACTAGCTCAACTAGAAAATCCCAAATATCTATTCCTTTCAAGAAAAAAAAAGATGTCAGTTTATTATTTCCACGGCAATAAATTACACTTGAACACTTGTGGTCTGCATGTCTAAGGCCTGGAATTTCATTCAAATGTAAAGAACAGACCTCAGAAACTTACTTCGCTTGCTCAGGAGGTGAAAGAGGGCAGTAAGTTTTATTAACAAATGGAACGTAACACAGGAATATTTTATTTTTTCTGAAGTTCACCTTTTTGTTGCCTGTTTGGAAGTACTTCATACTGTCTTCCAAGCTCTACTGATTAAATATATTTACCCATATTGAAAAATGGAGACTTAAATAAGTGAATAAATCTTTTCAAGGTCACAACCCCAGGGAGGGGCAGTCCCAACAGGACAGATCACCCAGGAAAGTTTCTCAAGAGAAACCTCCACCCCAGGACTTCCCATAGGATGTTCTTGCCCAGAAAGATCCTGGGGGAAAGGCATAAGGGTTTTATCCAACATAGTTCCAGGTGATTATTCTCTGCTTTCATCCCATATAAAACATCTACAAATATATCCTTTAAAAAAGAAGCATCCACAGGGCTGGGGAAACATAGAGTCAAAATAGTGCATCGTTTTGAAATGCACCAGGGAGAACAAAGGGTTGATAACATTCCTGTGAATCTGAGAGGGGAAGCTGGCTTTGGGAATGTGGGGTGAGATCTGAAAATTCAGGGAATTACTGTCAGTCACAGAGATACCGGTCCTGATATCAGTTCCCCTACACTGAACCCAGCATATATGGGATTAAAAGCAAGCACTTTGCCTGCTTACTCCTCAGAGTCCATCACAGAGACAGACAACCAAGAACACCCCTTATCTCGTCACCCTCCTCCCCTAAAGCAGCTGCAGGCTGGTGGGAAAGCTGCCAACCAGCAAGGTCACCGGCTCCCTCCTCCCTACAAGTAGTCTCAAGGCCAAACACAGGCTGGTGGGAAAGCTACGACCAGCAAGGCCATATGCTCACCCTCCCCTCCCTAAAACCCCAAATAAAAACCCTTCCTTTTAGCTTTTCAGGGAATTTGGGATCTCAGCATTAGCTACCCTTTCTCCTTGCTCAGCGCTGTGCAATAACATTCCTACCCCCCGCCACTACCCCCCACCCCCCATGTCAGAGACTGGATTGCTGCCCAACAGGGAGGAAACTCACTTCAGGTTCAACGTCAACAGAAAAAGCTAAGCTAGGATGTGGGGACAGGCGCATGGATTTGAGACACTGCTCCTCAAACTCCACTGCTCCATGGACAACTCAGGAGAAAATGGGGGCTGCCTAGGGATTAAGGAATCACTGGGGACCCCACAGACCACAGCTCCTCCCACAAATGACCCCCAGAAACTGCGTCTCAATTGTCCCTGATGACCCTCCCCATGGTCACCACACAATCTGGGGAGACGTGGGGCCATGGCACAGAACTGCTTGGAGAGGCTCTGGGGCCAAAGTCTCCACATGCAATGACACACAGGACACCCAAGTTTCCAGCTGCCAGCCCAGCCCCCATGCTGTGAGCCAGAGGGGACTGAGGTAACAGCTGTGCCACTGGGGGAATTGAGTCAGCAGACTCTGGAGGTGACTGGGTGGAGGCTGGGTCCTGCCGTAGTCAGTTCCAACCAGCCCCTCCTCCCCATCTCCTCACCCCGGGGCCACACACTCACCATCTCCAGGTCTCCTGGGTCCCCCTGAGTCCTTCCTCTGACCCCCATGGCCAGTGCAGATCAGAGTGACAGAGACTATGGCAGAGCCACCAGGTAATGTTAAGGGCAGGTGATAAACCATCCTGAGCACAGCAGGAGTGAGGAGGGACCTCCAAGTCAGCGCGGCACATCATCTCACCCATCTCCCCAGAGGCTCCCCTGATTGGACAGGGTGGAACGCCCTCCTCACTCATGCCTGAGTGACGGGCTGCTTGGCTCAGATGAACCAGATACACTGGTTGGCTGGAACCTGACTCACCTGGCACATTTGCATTTAAACAGAACTTTTTCCTGGCCTGGGGCTGCCTCTACTCTTTTCACTCGGCTCTTTATGAACCCGTGGGCACAGGTGTGCACAGAGAATTCCTGATTGAGTTTCAAATGGAGCAAGTAAGCGCAAAGCATGAGCATGGCCCAGGTCAGGCCACACTGAAACAAGAGGGTCTTATGTCCTCTAGAGGTCAAGGGTTTGGTGTAAGCCTACGAGGCCACTGATGAAACTACAACCCTTGTTTAGAAATGCAGACACTGAAATGTAACCTCACCACCTGTAATAAAGAGTCAGGCTCCATTTTAATCTTCGATTCTTGCCAGTAACGAGCCTTCCACCCATCCCTCTCCAAACCCACTCCCTTGGTACTTGATATAGAATCCCAGAGCACTGGGCTCTGGTGGGAAGTTTGAATCCCACAGCCCCAGCCTGGCAGCAAGGACTTTTCTGTCTTGTAACCATGGGCCCAGTAGGACCAGTTCAAATTGACCCTATCTCTTATCAACAGTGTGATTAAGTGTTGTTTTTCAGAAAATTTTGAAAGTCACGTAGCCACAGCATGCAGAGAAGAGGAAATCTTGACCTGAAATGACATAGGAACCAAAGATTCTCCTCCCCGTGGAACCGAAGGACAGCGACATGCCCGGGATTTGAAAGTGGGACTATCTTCAGAGGTGAAAGGTCCATCACCCAGGAAGATTCAGTGTTAAAACCCTTTCCCCACCCTACGGTAAATGTTTCAAACCTCACCACAATGTTTAAAACCTTACTATAAAGGCTTAAAGCCCTCCAATCAAAACCTGCCCCTCTAGTGTTTTCATGAGCCAGTCTGCTCTCCCTAACCTCTTAAATTTTGCCCCAAATCCTGAATCAGGGAAACAGATCTGAGAGCATATATGCCTCCCATCTCCTTGCAGATCAATCTAGCAAAAAACCTAGTTTCTTTTCCCAAAAGTGGAAGCCATAATATTTAGCTTTTTAATGCCCATCACGTACGAGAACCCAATCTTTGTGCAGTAACAATCTAACTACAGCATGTGATGTGTGTTCACTAAAGTCCCAGGTGCACATTTCACACTGGAAGGAAATTTATTTTAGATCACTTTTTGCCTGTGTCCCTAGAGACCTCTCAAACGTTAACTGCTATAATATCCAGATCTAAGGCAACTGATTCCTATTTCACTGATATAAGAAAAACAATAAATCCTTATGTAAATGTGGGATGCACCTGGAAACTCTTTTCCCACCACCCCCCCCCAGCTTTATTGAGGTATAAGTGACTAATAAAACTGTCTATATTTAAAGATTACAATATGATGATTTGATACATGTACAACTTGTATACTTGAAATTTGCTAAAACTGTGGATTAAGCCTTCTCACCATGCACACACATACAAACACACACACACACACAGTTACTAAGTAGCTACAAGTGGAATTGATGGGTCTCATGGTACTTTTAGGTTTTATATTTGAAGAACTCCCCAACAACTTCCACAGTGATTACACCATTTTATATTCACACAACCAAAACAAAACTTACCTCACTTTTTGATTCTAGCCATACCAGTGGTTGTGAAGTGGTACCTCACTGGGGTTTTGATTTGCATTTCCTTGATGACTAACAAGGTTCAGTGTCTTCTCATATGCTCTTCGGCATCTTTCATATGCCAAAGAAGGTAGACAAGAAGATAGACCTTTTGTCTATCTTCTTCAGAAAATAGTGTATTGAGATACTTTGCCATATTTAAATGGTTAACATTTTATCATTAAGTTTAAGAGGTCTTCAGTTTGATATCACTTCCATAGCCGATATGTGATTTGCAAAATTTTCTTCCATTCTGTGGGTTGTGTTTTCACTCTCTTGCCTTAAAAATTTTACTTTTAATTGTGGTAACATACACATACCATAAAATTTACATTTTCACAATTTTTTAAGTGTATAGGTCAGTTATAGCACAGGTCAAAATTTGCTTTCTTTTTCAAGCTGAATAACACACATTGTATGTATGTGCCAAATTTTTAAGATCCATTCATCTCTTGATGGGCACTTGGGTTACTTCCACCTTTTGGCTATAGTGAATAACGTTAATATAAACACGAGTGGAAACATAGCTGTTTAAGTCCCTGCTTTCAATTCTACTTCAATTCTCAGAAGTAGAATTGCTAGTTCAGATGGTAATTCCATTTGCAATTTTTGGAAGAACCGCCACGTTGTATTTCATACCATCAACATAATTTTATATTCCCAGTGATAGTGCACAAGGGTTCCAAAGGGTGTTTTCACTCTCTTGATAGAGTCCTTTGAAGTAGAGAAGTCATTAATTTGATGAAGTCCAAATTACCTATTTTTTTTCTGTTTTTGCTTTTGTCTTATCTAATAATTCTTTGCCAAATCCAAAGTGATGAATTTTTTCCTATGTTTTATCTAAGTTTGTTATAGTTTACTCTTATGTTTAGGTCTTTATCTTTCCTGGTAAATTACTATATGTGGTGTCATATAAGGATAAAACTTCTTTCTTCTGCATATGGCTATCCACTTGGCCACCACTAATTTATGAAAAGAATATTCTTGCCCCATACTTGCCACTTTTTTTAAGTATCAGTGGACCACAGATGTATGGCTTTATTTCTGAAATCTCAATCTATTCCACAGATCTGTATATCTATCCTTGTGTCAGTAGCAAACACTTTTTTTTTTTTAAAGATTGGCACCTGAGCTAACATCTGTTGCCAATCTTCTTTTTTCTTCTTCTTCTTCTTCCCAAAGCTCCCCAATATATAGTTGTATATTCTAGTTGTAGGTCCTTCTGGTTGTGCTGTGTGGGCCACCACCTCAGCATGGCTTGATGACTGATGCCATGTCCACACCCGGGATCAGAACTGGCGAAACCCTCAGCCGCCGAAGTGGAGTGCACGAACTCAACCACTTTGCCATGGGGCTGGCCCCTCACACCCTCTTGATTATCAGTGCATATTACAAAGTTTGAAATAAGGAAATGTTAGCCCTACAACTTTGTTTCCTTTTTCAAGATTATTTTTGCTAATCTGGTTCCCTTGCAATTCCACATAATTTTATGAAATAGCTTACATTTCAACAATGTTAAGTCTCCTGACCCACAATATGGGAATGTTTTCCCATTTATTTATACAATTTTTATTTCTTATGAAATAAAGAAAAGTTTTTATTTTATACTTTTTTTTATATTTTAAACTTTTTTTTGAAGAAGATTAGCCCTGAGCTAACATCTGCTGCCAATCCTCTTTTTGCTGAAGAAGGCTGGTCCTGAGCTAACATCCATGCCCATCTTCTTCTACTTTATATGTGGGACACCTGCCACAGCATGGCTTGCCAAGCAGTGTGTAGGTCTGCACCCGGGACTCAAACTGGCGAACCCCGGGCTGCCGAAGCGGAACATGCGAACTTAACCACTATGCTACAGGGCCAACTCCCATATTTTATAGTTTTTGAGTATTTTCCTAAGTATTTTATTCCTTTTGATCTTATTCTCAATGCATTTCTTAGTTTCATCACCAGATTGTTCAATGTAACTGAGTTGAAATACAATTGATTTTTATATTTTGATCTTGTACGCTACCATTTTGCTGAACTTCATCAGTTCTAATAAATTTTTTAGGGGATTCCTCAGAGTTTTCTAAAAACAAGGTATCTCAGCTGGAAGTACAGACAGTTTTACATCTTTCTATCCAACTTTATGCATTTTACTTCCTTTTCTTGCATAATGGCTCTGGCTAAAATCTGCAGTATATTCTAGAATAGAAGTGGCAAGAGTAGACATCCTTGGCTCCTTCTCTTCAGGAGAAAGCAACTATTCTTTTACAATTAAATGTAATATTAGCTGTGTGTTTTCCATAAATGCTCATTACGATGTTAGGAAATTTCATTCTATTCCTGGTAATCTCAGTGCTTTAATTATGAAAGGGTAGTGGATTTTACCAATTATTTTTTCTGAATCTTTTGAAACCATGTGCCAGTTTTGCTTCTTATTCTATTGATATCCTTTATTCCATGAATGAATTTTGAGATGTTAAATGAACCTTTCACATCTGGAATAAATCCCACTTGGTCATGGTGCATAATTCTTCTATACAGTGCTGGATTGAGTTTGCTGGTATTTATTGTACTGGCCTCACAAAATGAGTGCAACATATTTCTCTCCATTCTAATTTTTAAGAGTGTGTGAAGAACCAGTGTTAGGGGCCGGCCCTGTTGCTAAGTGGTTAAGTTCGTGTGCTCCGCTTTGGCGGCCCAGGGTTTCACCAGTTTGGATCCTGGGTGCGGACATGGCACTGATCATCAAGCCATGCTGAGGCAGTGTCCCACATGCCACAACTAGAAGGACCTACAACTAAAATATGCAATGATGTACTGGAGGGATTTGGGGATAAAAAGCAGAAAAAAAAAAAGATTGGCAAGAGTTGTTAGCTCAGGTGCCAATCTTTAAAAAAGGAAAAAATATCAAAAAAAAAAAAAAAGAACCAGCATTAAAGAATCTTTTAATGTTTCAGAGAATCGTGGGTTGAAGACTTCTGGGCCTAGCCTTACACTGTGGGCGGTTGTTTACTAATTCAACCCCTTCACTTCTTATAGTTCTATTCAGATTTTCCATTTATTCTTGATTTAGGTTTAGCACTTTGGATCTTTTGAGGAATTTGTGCACTTTAACTCAGTTATCTATTTTTTGCCATAAAATTGCTCATTGAATTATTTTATAATGATTTTATTTCTACAATGTCAGTAGTGATATTCCTCTGCCTTTCAGATTCTCTGAATTTGAATCTTCCCCATTTTTCTGTAGAATTTTGTTAATCTCTCCAGAGAATCTACTTTTGGTTTCACTGATTTTCTCTGTGGCTTTTCTATTCCTCATTTCATTAATTTCTGCTCTAAATTTATTATTTTCTTTTCTCCTTGCTTTGCGTTTGGTACCTCATCTTTTCAAGCCTATTCAGGTAAAAGGTTAGGTTATTGATTTGAGATCTCTCTTCTTTTGTTAGTATAGGCATTGATGACTATAAATTTATTTCTTTGTACTGTTTTAGATGCAGGCTATAAACTTTCACCCTTCAGGTATGATATAATCTTCCTCATTATCTCTAGTAATATTTTTTGTTTTAAAGTCTACTTTGCTAGTTATTTGTATCATCTCTCCAGATTTCCTGTGGAGGCTATTTTCAGATGTATATTTTCCCATGCTTTTACTTTCAATCTGTTTGTATCTTTGAATCTACAGTGTGCTAGTATACACAGCATATATTTGGATCATGGATTGTTTGTGTTTTTAATCTGAGGTGACAATCTCTTCCCTCTGTTTGGATAATGTAATCCATTCATATTTAGTATTACTGACATAGCTGTAATTACATCTGCTACTTTATTTTTTGTTTTCTAAAATTCTCACATACTTTTTAGTTTCTCTTTTTCTTTATGACTTTCTATTGCATTAATTGAATATCTTCTAATGTAGCATTCTAATTTAAATGAATGAAGTTATTTTTATAACAGTTGCTCTACTATTTATAAGAACGAGTTTCAGGGGGCTGGCCCCGTGGCTGAGTGGTTAAGTTCCACTTTGGCAGCCCAGGGTTTCGCTGGTTCAGATCCTGGGCATGGACCTAGCACTGCTCATCAAGCCATGCTGAGGTGGTGTCCCACATAGCAGAGCCAGAAAGATCTACAACTAGAATATACAACTATGTACTGGGGGGCTTTGGGGAGAAAAAGGAAAAAAAAAAAAAAAAAGGATTGGCAACAGATGTTAGCTCAAGTGCCAATCTTTCAAAAAAAAAGGAGCTTGGGGCCGGCCCGGTGGTGCAGCAGTTAAGTGTGCATGTTCCGCGTCAGCAGCCCGGGTTCACTGGTTTGGATCCCAGGTGCGGACATGGCACCACTTGGCAAGCCATGCTGTGGTAGGCATCCCACATATAAAGTGGGGGAAGATGGGCATGATGTTAGCTCAGGGCCAGTCTTCCTCAGCAAAAAGAGGAGGACTGGCAGCAGTTAGCTCAGGGCTAATCTTCCTCGAAAAAAGAAAAAAAATAAATAAAGCTTCAGATTAACACTACCTTAATTCCAGTGATACATGGAATCATTGCTAGTATATAGCTGCATTCACTTTGGCCATTTTTGTGGTTTTATTGTTATGCAGATTATATCTATTAATGCATAACCAATAACATATTGTTACACTTATTTTTCTATCATCTGTAGTCACTTCATCAGCACAACATGGCTTTGCTCCCACCATGAATGTTGTGCTCTTAATGAGAAACAAATTACACACGTTACATTTCTATATGTAATAAGCACAACAGCACATTAAATACAGAGTATTTTATACAATTCCTTTGATATCAGCTAAGAGAAGAAAGGAGAAAAGAGGTAATTATTCTGTCTTTCATATTTCCATAATTACTTATACTGGTGTTTTCATTTCTTCATGTTGATATCAATTACCATCCTGGGTCACTTGATTTCAACCTGAAGTAATCTTGGAAGGTAGTTGGCTATCAATATACCTACACTGGTGTTTTTGTTTCTTTATGTTGCTATCAATTACATTATGGGTCACTTGCTTTCAACCTGAAGAACTCCTTCAGTAACCTCATAAGGTGGTCACATAGTAATACATTCTCTCAATTTTTGTTAATCTGGGAAAGTCTTTATTTCATCTTTATATTTTACATGGTAGTTTTGGTGAATATAGGATTCTTGGCTGACAGGTTTTATCTTTGTGCACTTTGAATATGTTACCCCTCTTCCTTCTGACCTCCCTTTTCTCTGCTGAGACATCACTTGTTAATTTTACTGGGGTTTCCTGTAGAAGTTGGGTAATTTTTTCAACTGCTGTTTCCCCCCAGTGTATAGTTCTTACTTTCCTGTATCTTTGCATGTGTCATATTTTTGATGCAAACCAGACATTTTAGGTAATATATTGTAGCACATCCGGGTACTGGTCCCCTTTATATTGTTATTAGCTTATTTATTTGTTCAGTGACTGAGTGGACTATTTTAGTTAAGTCTATGTCCTCCATACAGAGTGAAACCTCTAACACAGCTCCAACAATTGTGCATATCTTTGTGTATGTCTACACTCAAGAGACAGTGGTATTAGTAGGGCTCTCTTCCTCTTTCACGTATACACCAAGGGGTTAAACTAGATTAATTGCTGGCTGATTGCTCTACTGTTTTTACCAATGTCCTGGGGATATAACTTGCTCTACCAAATATTCCAGTGAAATTCTGGCTCCTTTGTAGCAATACTTTCATTAATTAATTAATTAATTAATTTAGTTTTCTCCCCTGAAGCCCCAGTACATAGCTGTATATCCTAGTTGTAAGTTGTTCTAGCTTTTCTACGTGAGCCACTGCCACAGCATGGCATCTGACATACAGGTGGTGTGGTTCCATGATCGGAAATGGAACCCAGGCAGCCTGAAACACTGAGCACCAGCTTTAACACTAGGCCATCAGGGCTGGCTCTGGGGCAATACTTTCTGAAGTCACTGTTTGATATTTGGTCTGACCCTAGGAAGTGTCCTCCCAGCAGTGTAATTCCTTGGTTCCTTCCAGAAAACTAATCAGCCTCTAGTGTAAGCTCTATCTTCATTAAATACACAAATCTACTAATTGCCTTCCCACTTCATTCTCCACTTTCCTGAGAGTGTCCTCTGACTTGAACTTTTCATGACGTTTTGCTGGCCAAGTTAATTCCTTTGGAAGGAATTAAGAACTTTGTG